CAGCAACTATCACTCCAGTGTTCTAATGGTACAATGTGTTTGCTCATTGGCTCAGAAGGCTAATTGATGATTAGGAAACCCTTGTGCAATCATGTTCACACATCTGAAAAAAGTTTAGCTCGTTACAGAAGCTACAAAATGGACCTTCCTTTGAGCAGATTGAGTTTTTATGCTAAAGAAATGAAGGCTATTCCATGCAAGAAATTGCTAAGAAATTGAAGATTTCCTACAGCGGTGTGTACTACTCCCTTCAGAGGACAGCACAAACAGGCTACTGCGGGTTCTATTTAATGAAGATGCCAGTTGGGGACCTGTGAGGCGTCTGTTTCTCAAACTAGACTCTAATGTACTTATCTTCTTGCTCAGTTGTGCAACGCGGCCTCCCACTTCTTTTTCTACTCTGGTTAGAGCCTGTTTGTGCTGTCCTCTGAAGGGAGTAGTACACAAATCTTCAATTTCTAAGCAATTTCTCGCATGGAATAGCCTTCATTTCTGAGAACAAGAATAGACTGTCGAGTTTCAGATGAAAGTTATCTTTTTCTGGCCATTTTAGCGTTTAATTGACCCCACAAACGTGATGCTCAAGAAACTCAATCTTATATATATAAATAAATATATATATATATATATATATATATATATATATATTGGTGTGAAGGATTACTGAAAAGTCAAGGAGTCAATTAAATTAGCTGGTTTTCCTCAGAAAACTGGTTGGCCTGAGATAATATAAATGGAGCTATAGAAATAAACTGCATAGAGTTGAAAGTTCCGTCATTGTTATCCTTCAAACGATATCCAAGTTGGGGAGGGAGGATTGTTGGATCCTAACACTGCAGCTAGCAGCCATAGCCAGAGATATCTTAGCCTCCTCATGATGATGACGATGATGATGATGATGATGATGATGCCTACTTCCATCTAATCCAGTGGTTCCCAAAGATTTTCTTCTGGGCCCCCCTTTGGATTACAATAACATTTCCACGCCCCCCCCCCCCCCCCACAACCCCAAAAAAAAAAAAAAAAAAAGAATAAACTGGGCCCACACGTCGTTCAACCAGATATAATAAATCTATACACATATTTTGTTTTCAAACTCCACTGAAGTTTATTTCACACTTCAGGTTGCAACAAAACAAACTACACCATCTTTACAGTGGAACACTTTTGTGTAACTGTATTTTTTTCATAGTTCTATAATGTAGATTAGAAGAGGATTCTTTGTTGTCTGTGTTATTTTAAACATATTTCTTTTTTTTTTATTTGTAACAATATTTAACTTTGCTATAATCTATACATTAAAAAGCATCTGTGCAAAATGGAGTGAAAACATTTAACAGCTCCCTGAGAGTTTTTTCTTTGTACTTTAATCCTCCCATCTTTTCAGTGGCTGTAGTGAGCCTGCTTGTTGCTGCAGATCTTCTCAAATCTGGGTTGCAGCGTCACAACTGTCCATTATGCTCATTCAAGCAAGCGCTGTTTTTTTTGTCTTTTTTTTTTTTTTCATTCATCCATACCGCTTCCCGCGCCCCCCCTGCAATGGTATTGCGCCCCCCCTAGGGGGCGCGCCCCACACTTTGGGAACCACTGATCTAATCTATGATTGAATAAAAAGCAATGGTTATCACTATGGGAACGGTTACCTTTGAAAGGAACTTTATTCTAAAGTCTGGTCTTCCCTCAGGAGGAACTTCCTGTTTAGCATCAAGCTGCTTCCTGTCTGTCTCTGATTAACTGGGAGGCCATCTTCCTCCCGTCACTCAGATGTTGATTCTGTGAATCCTAAAATCATCTCCAGCAACAGATGTGACGCTAATTAGAACGATGTGTAACCTGGTCTATGGTCACTTTCTTCAAGTGATTTATTCTATAAAATCTGTTTCTATTCTAATCAGTCATTGAAAACATGAAGCAGTTGGAGGAGCTGAACTGTTTAGTGATCCAGATAGTTCCTCCTCATGCATGGCTTCATCTGCATGGTTCTCCAGTAGAAATGTAATCAGGCTCTCTGCAGGAGATCCAGGTGTTGTAGATGTTGATGCTGTAGAGGTTGTAAAAAGTAGAAGCAGGTCAGATTGAAGAGTTTGGCTGATGTCAGACAAAGTTCCTGTAAATAGAATAAAAAGCTGGCAGATGGTTTGGAGGCAGAGGAGGCGCTCCCTCTCTGTCCTGTTCTCCTGAGACCTGCAGGCAGCTGAGACCAGGCCTGTTTACCGGCCTCTCCTTTGGCTCCCAGAGGCGTCACCATGCTGCGCCTGCTGTGTGAACGCTCACCCCCTGGGAGGGGGGGTGCAGGCCTGTTTACTCCACTGTCTGCATTACTGACTGAATCACCTGGTCTCCATGTTGCAACAGGCTCTGCTGTCTGTGAATTACAGAAACTTTGTTAATTTTTCTACAGATGTTTCTATGACAGATAAAAACTGACCAATCATTTAAAGCCTGGATCGTTGCTATGACAACATCGCAGTGATGATGTCAGATAAAGGGGCTAAAAAGTCTCTGCTTCCACAGATACTCATCATAATCCACACATTTGGGGGATTATTTAAGGAGAAGTAAATCAGCTGCTGATTTCGCTAAAAGGCGACATTAAAAGTCTTCCTCACCTTTAAACTGCGTAAGATGAAGGTCAGACTCTGAGGCCTTGCTGCCCTGCAGGAACTATGACGTCATGTTCAGGAAGTGGCGTGTTGCCGGATAATCAGGCGAAGAATAAGATGTTCGGTTCTGATCCGCCTACATGAGAATTAAACTCTAAACGATGATGGAGGAAATTTGGAAAAAAAACATTTTATTACTTAATTTTATTTAAAGCAATCTTTATGCAAACAGGAACCGTAGTTATTCCCACAGAGGAACCTGTAAACAGCTGGATTTACATCCCAGAATGTTCCCAGCAAACCCAGTCAGCGTCTTTTAGTCCAAATGCTTCTCACATGTCCCGTTTCCTAGAAGATCAAACATGGACCAGGTCACGTCTCCTGTTCTTCATCCAGACTGTTCCTCCTCTTCCTCTGTCGTCCAGGTGCTCAGAGGATCACCTGCCTGGAAATCCTGAGTCTGTTCTCATGAAAATGAACCGTTTTGGTGTCTAATGGCATCCAGGCAGCAGATTAATATTATTAGCAGACTGGTTTAGATGGTAAAGCAGCTCAGATGGGTCTAAACTAGACTAACTAATCTGGTTACATCTACAGTCTGAGATGTTTTTGTTCTCCATTAGTCTCAGGCTTACTGGCATGTTGGGACGACAGACTCCTGTCTTCTTCTTCAGAGGGACCAGCAGCTCCCAGAGGGACGCGCTGGATTGAAAATAGACTCTACTAAGTTTGTTGGAAGGTCTTTGATATTGAAATGAGGTCATTTTCTCACTGGATTGTAGGAAATGTGGTAATGATCTTATTGGTGGAGCTTTAGGTAGTTCTGGTCCAGAGAACAACTGCAGAATCTGTGCAGGATGTTTCATAGAGAGCTGAGAATAGAACCATGATTTAGGATTACGCTGCTCCTCAGCAGACCCCAGCAACCATCAGCACCCGATGGCCTCCTCTGCTGGTAGAGGATGTTTCCCATGAGGACCGACGACAGTCTGTCCTCTTGGTCATCTCATATGCTTCGTCTCAGATCAGTTGGAACAAGATGAAGAACTAGACCAGATGTTTATATGCAGGACGGTTCATTAAAGCTCCAGACAGGCAGGAGGCACGTGGACAGAGGGACAGGCTGAGGGACAGGCTGAGGGACGGACAGAGGGACAGGCTGAGGGACGAACAGAGGGACGGACAGAGGGACGGACAGAGTGAGGGACGGACAGAGGGACAGGCTGAGGGATGGAGAGAGGGACGGACAGAGGGACAGGCTGAGGGACGGACAGAGGGACAGGCTGAGGGACGGACAGAGGGACAGGCTGAGGGACAGGCTGAGGGATGGACAGAGGGACGGACAGAGGGACAGGCTGAGGGACGGACAGAGGGACGGACAGAGGGACAGGCTGAGGGATGGAGAGGGGGACGGACAGAGGGACAGGCTGAGGGATGGAGAGAGGGACGGACAGAGGGACAGGCTGAGGGACGGACAGAGGGACAGGCTGAGGGACGGACAGAGGGACAGGCTGAGGGACAGGCTGAGGGATGGACAGAGGGACGGACAGAGGGACAGGCTGAGGGACGGACAGAGGGACGGACAGAGGGACGGACAGAGGGACAGGCTGAGGGACGGACAGAGGGACGGACAGAGGGACAGGCTGAGGGATAGACAGAGGGACGGACAGAGGGACGGACAGAGGGACGGGCTGAGGGATGGAGAGGGGGACGGACAGAGGGACGGGTTGTGGATGTTACTTAGAGGCTGGTTGTTTCCTCCAAAGGTTCCATCGTTATAAAGTTTTCCATGTTCAGGTTAAACCTTCACAATTAGAGCATTAAAGTGAGTATTGGTGCTTTTAGAGTGAAAATAACTGCAACCTCTGCCGTCCCCAAATACAGATCTATATGTTCCACCTCTACATTCGCTAACAGACCTTTCTATCAACATGTTCTATGTTTTGTCGGCAGATTTAGATGAGGAGCCAGTAGCAGTTTAAAGAGGAAGCAGACAGAGCTGAAACATTGCTTCTATATCAACCTTCTGGGTTTAGACATCAGGAAGCTCTATGCAGATCATCAGGACCGGCTGCAGCCCCCACCCCCCCACTCTTAAAAGCTCCTTTTTCTATTTTCATCTGCGCTCTCCTACTGCCGGCCCCGGGCTCTCCTGCTCTGGTCCCCTATGCCTGAAGGAGCGCCTGGCTCAGCGGCCGGCGGCTCCAGTTAGAGACGTGGTCTGTGGGAATTGAGCTGGCCCTCCATCCCGGGCCCCTCAGCTCTCTCCTTCTCAGGTTAACCCCAAACACTCCCTCACCTTCTTCTTCTCTCTACTCGTTCTTTCGCTCCCTGCGCTGCGTGTTTCCCCGCCCACAGCTCCACAGGGAGTCGGGGGAATGAAAGGCCTGCTGTCGCCTGCGGCGCACCTGTCCTCCCTCGGCTGCTGTAGTTCTCCTGCAGAGGGACCAGATGCAGGTGGACCGGTGCTGCCGGGACTATAAACGCTGATGTTCATCCTGCAGAGATCTGAGGCTGGTTCCATTTTCACTACAACCCCTCCTCTTCCTCATGTTTACAGTCAATAATCCAACATGGAGAGAGTCTTAATAGTGGCTCCCAGTAGTTTCCCACTCTGATACCCTGAAATAAAGTCCATCATCAGAGGTCAGAGGTCAGAGGTCCTGACCTGGGCCCTGCTGGGTCTATGTCTGGACGTTTCTATCTAACGCTGTGATCCCAGCTCTGACAGTCCGGGCTACACTGGCCTTTATCCAGATGTTTTGCTTTGTTTAGTCTCACACACACATGTTGTGTCACAATATCCTTGTGGGGACCTTCCATTGACTTCCATTCATTTCCCACTAATTTATATGGCCTAACCGTGACCCTTGCCCTAACCCTAACCATTACCGACACATACCTATCCCTAAACCTAACCTAAACTCAATTCACACCTTAGTCCTAAACCTAACCCCCACCCCAAGAAGAGAAACTTTCCTTATGGGGACCAGTTGTTGGTCCCCACAAGTACCGATGAGTCCCCAAAATGTAGCATATTCCTAGGAAATTGTCCCCACCAGGTATTAAAGACATGGCCACCCACACACACACACACGCCTACAGACATACTCATTCTGCTATATAGTAGTGAGGACCATGTGTTGACTCCCATTAACCTCCATTGATTTTCAGTCATTTTCAACCCTTTCTATGCTCTAACCCTAAACCAATGACACCTTAGCCCTAAACCTAACCATTAGCAAAATAGCATGTGAGGACCGGCAAAATGTCCTCAATTTGATGGTAAAATTGGAAAAATGGTCCTCCCTCTGATGGCTAGACAGGTCCACACACACACACCCACCGTCCTCAGCCCCATTAATCCAGCAGCCTTTTCTCCTTCTCCTCAAAGAGACGAGCACTCGCCGTGACATCAGTCACAGGAAGTGAATCTTTAACGTTGACTAATTTCCATTGATTGCCTCCAGACAGGCTTTGCAGACGTTCCCACACGGAGCCTGGATGCTCTCATTTAAGTCTCCCCGCCTGCAGAAAGCGCTTTACAATGAACGCAGTCAGTGCTTTTATCTTCTCCCCCACTCCTGCTTATTATCAAATGAATGTGCGGCATAGAAAGATACCCACTGACAGGGCCGCGCATAATGACTCCTGGCTGTGTGAAATGGATTAATAAATAATGGTTGAGCAAGCGGAAGAAAGCGGCTTTGCCTGAACTGCATCTCTGCCTACAACTCAGCGCGTTCTGCTGAGCCTCGTCTGACAAGCAGCCTGAAACTAAACTCCCATTTTCTGGATGCTTGGTGGGAAGAGAAGGAAAGCAGAGCAAAGCTCCTTCAGCCATGGAGCAGGAAGCGCCATGATGGGGCCTAGACGTTCCTTCATTGTTGTTCTAACAGACATGTCGAGGTTAGATTATGAACCATCTTGTTTATAGTGAAAGCTAATTGGCTGGAATCCACCAATCAGGGATCTGAGGCCAGGACTGGTCAGTGTGATGGACCTCCTGATTTTATTCGTTCATGTTTGAAACCAAAGTTACAGCGTGAGAGAGATAGAAAACAAACTGACTATAGAGTCAACACCTTAACTCTTCTTTATTTCCGGTAGTAAGGAGTAGCTAGCCTAGGCTGCTGCTTCGGTGTGTAAGTTTGCCAAAAAAATGTCGGACTCCGTAATTTTCTCTGGTCCCCTCCCTGATCTGACCAGTGATGACATGTTTAGCCGCATGTCGTCATTCAACCGCTGGTTGTCTAGGTGGTGTCCTGAAAACAACGTGGGCTACATTAATAATTGGCAATCCTTTTGGGGAAAGCCTGGTCTGATTCGGAGAGACGGCATCCATCCCACTTTGGATGGTGCAGCTCTTCTTTCTAGAAATCTGGCCACATTTATTAGTCCTCCAAAACCCTGACCACCCAGGGTGCAGACCAGGAAGCAGAGTTATAGTTTAACAGACCTCTCTGCAGCTTCTCTACTGTTACCCACTCTTTACTCCATCCAGACAGTGTCTTGCCCACGACCAAAATCTAATAAATTAGCAAAGATTCCCAAAGGAGTAAATCATGATAATCTAATTAAAATCAAAATAACTCCAATTGGGGAAAAAGTTAAAACAATTAAATGCGGTCTGTTTAACATAAGATCGCTTTCCTCTAAAAGTCTACTAGTTAATGACTTGATTTGTGATAATCACATTGACTTGTTTTGCCTTACAGAAACCTGGCTGCAGCAAGAGGATTATGTGAGCATAAATGAGGCAACTCCTTCAAGCTATTTAAATTTTCACATCCCCAGAAGTTCTGGGCGAGGAGGAGGAGTAGCAACAATCTTCCAGTCTGACTTACTGATTAAATGGTAAATGGTAAATGTCCTGTACTTATATAGCGCCTTTATTCAAGTTAGGAGACCTGACCAAAGCGCTTTACACTACATTCATTCACCCATTCACTCACACACTGATGGTGGCAAGCTACATTGTAGCCACAGCTGCCCTGGGGCTCACTGACAGAAGCGAGGCTGCCGTACACTGGCGCCACCGGGCCCTCTGACCACCATCAGTAGACAATGCAGGTGAAGTGTCTTGCCCAAGGACACAACGACAATGAAAGTCGGAGTCGGGGCTTGAACCGTCAACCCTTCGATTACAGGGCAAACTCCTACATCCAACGCCACTGTCGCCCTATTACTCTCAAAACAATTAATTCCTACAACTCTTTTGAACATTTAACCCTTAATTTCCCTGATCCAAATTTCAAGGCAAGAAAACCTCTTCTTTTTATAACTTTGTATCGTCCACCAGGTCCTTACTCTGAATTTTTAGATGAGTTTTCAGAGTTCCTTTCTGATTTGGTATTAAATACTGACAGGGTCATCATAGTGGGAGATTTTAACATCCATGCTGACATTGAAGGCGATAGCTTAAGAGCAGCCTTTAATGCTATCTTAGACACTATTGGCTTTGTTCAAAATGTGAATAGTCCCACGCATTCTCATCTTCATACTTTGGATCTTGTGCTGACATATGGCATAGAATGTGAAGAAATAACAGTATTTCCTCACAACCCTGTCCTCTCTGACCACTTTCTAATAACCTTCAGGATTACTTTAACAGAGTTCTCCTCCCCCAAAAGAAGGTTCCACTTTAGCAGATTATTATCAGATAGTGCAGATATAAATTTTAAAGAATCTGCTTCACTTTCTCTCTCCTCTGTGTCGCTGAGCAGTGCTGCAGAGTGCTAAAGCTTAGCTTATTCCCCTTCACAGGTTGATGATTTTGTTGATGGGGTTGCTAGTTCTCTGCGTACTGCCTTAGACAATGCAGCTCCTTTGAAAATGAAAATGCTCCTTGGTTTAATGCAGAGCTGCGTACTTTGAAGCAAAATGCTAGGAAACTGGAGAGAAAATATCGCTCCACAGGCCTGCGGGAGTCCTTCCTAGTCTGGAAAAATGGTTTACTGCTGTATAAGAGGACCCTTTGTAAAGCAAGAGCAGCATATTTCTCCTGATTAATAGAGGAGAATAAGAATAATCCTAGATTTCTTTTTAATACAGTTGCCAAACTCACCCAGAGCCATAGCTCTGTTGAACCGTCCATTCCACCTGCTCTTAGCAGCAATGATTTTATGGGATTCTTTATAAATAAGATTGATCTTATTAAAAATAAGATCATTAGCACTCCTCTATCCGCGATTGGTTTGTCTCTGGAGGGGGGGGGATAGCATCTGAGGTAGTCATGGAATCTGAACCGGGTTTAGACTGCTTTGATTCAGTTGAACTTTCAGAGTTAGCAAAACTATTGTCTTCATCTAAGCCTTCAACTTGGATGTTAGATCCAGTTCCAACCAGGTTATTTAAGGAGGTATTCCCTTTGATCTCCTCCTCCATTTTAGATGTGATTAATCTATCTCTGTTACAGGGATACACTATATTGCCAAAAGTATTTGCTCACCCATCCAAATTATTGGAATCAGGTGTTCCAATCACTTCCATGGCCACAGGTGTATAAATTCAAGCACCTAGGCATGCAGACTGTTTTTACAAACATTTGTGAAAGAATGGGTCGCTCTCAGGAGCTCAGTGAATTCCAGCGTGGAACTGTGATAGGATGCCACCTGTGCAACAAATCCAGTCGTGAAATTTCCTCGCTCCTAAATATTCCACAGTCAACTGTCAGCTGTATTATAAGAAAATGGAAGTGTTTGGGAACGACAGCAACTCAGCCACGAAGTGGTAGGCCACGTAAACTGACGGAGCGGGGTCAGCGGATGCTGACGCGCATAGTGCGAAGAGGTCGCCAACTTTCTGCAGAGTCAATCACTACAGACCTCCAAACTTCATGTGGCCTTCAGATTAGCTCAAGAACAGTGCGCAGAGAGCTTCATGGAATGGGTTTCCATGGTCGAGCAGCTGCATCCAAGCCATACATCACCAAGTGCAATGCAAAGCGTCGGATGCGGTGGTGTAAAGCACGCCGCCACTGGACTCTATAGCAGTGGAGACGCGTTCTCTGGAGTGACGAATCGCGCTTCTCCATCTGGCAATCTGATGGACGGGTCTGGGTTTGGCGGTTGCCAGGAGAACGGTACTTGTCTGACTGCATTGTGCCAAGTGTAAAGTTTGGTGGAGGGGGGATTATGGTGTGGGGTTGTTTTTCAGGAGCTGGGCTTGGCCCCTTAGTTCCAGTGAAAGGAACTCTGAATGCTTCAGCATACCAAGACATTTTGGACAATTCCATGCTCCCAACTTTGTGGGAACAGTTTGGAGCTGGCCCCTTCCTCTTCCAACATGACTGTGCACCAGTGCACAAAGCAAGGTCCATAAAGACATGGATGACAGAGTCTGGTGTGGATGAACTTGACTGGCCTGCACAGAGTCCTGACCTCAACCCGATAGAACACCTTTGGGATGAATTAGAGCGGAGACTGAGAGCCAGGCCTTCTCGTCCAACATCAGTGTGCGACCTCACAAATGCGCTTCTGGAAGAATGGTCAAAAATTCCCATAAACACACT